CGGTTGATATCAAAAACCACACTTCATAAACCTAACAGGAGGAAGTGGGATCGCCGAGCTCAGCAACGTGAGCTTGTAACCCGAGTGGGGGCTTTGAGGTGCTGGAACATTGTCCCCAGTATTAGCTGGTCGGGTTCGGGTTGGCTATATTCTGGCCCGCCCATTCCAAGCCAGGAGTTGAACCCTGTGGCTTGAGCGAAGGCTCTGGGTCACTGGGTTTCTAGAGTGGAGGGCACTGCGTAAGGCTGGGTTCACAGAGCAACGACTACCTCCCGCTCTTGGCAGTGGAAGGATAACAGGTCGGTGCCACTCGGATCCGCCATGGCCTGCTAGACTGTCCCAATTTGAACCAAAACCTTTTTGCTTTTTTTTAACCTCATGGATGGTACTAATACATAACATCATCTCTATGTTGGATTGAATAGGTCTTCGTTGGGTGTGATGGAGTGAACTCCGTGGTGGCAAAATGGCTCGGCTTCAAGCAGCCGGCATTTACAGGGAGATCTGCTATTAGAGGTTGTGCTACCTTCAAGAGCAGTCATGGAGTTGATCCCAAGTTCAATCAGTACTTTGTGATGATACAAATGTTTACTGGTACATTACTTGGACTCCCTCTAGCCAAGGTCAGCTTTCACACAAATTTTGGGGATTCTTTGCTTCCATGTTTCCTTTGGGTACCCTCAAGGCTCAAACTTACGACAGATCCTTGGGGCAAAAAATATAACTTAAGATAGAACCTTAGATATTGGTACTGTTTCGCCGCATTGTAGCACTGGTATCGGTATGCTTCAAAATGGTTTTCAGATCTCAATCTCACCACAAATAAAAAAACCGTGATAGAATGTTTCATACTATGTTACTCAGCATCTAGAAAATATATTTTTTCCTTTTCAATTCAGAAACTTTAGGACTTCATATTGGCTGTTAATAAGTGTTCGTAGTATGTAAAATTCCAATCAAACCAGTATCTGTATGTTACATTTTTTGTTTATTCTTCATGTGTTGTAGAGAAAGAGCGAGAAGAGAACCCAGCTCAACTGAAGCAATATATATTAAGCAAGCTCGGAAAGATACCTGATAAAGTAAAAGCTGTGGTAGAAAACACCGAATTGGATGCTTTTATATCCTCTCCATTGAGATATAGACATCCTTGGGAGCTTCTTTGGGGAAACATCAGCAAAGGCAATGCTTGTGTCTCAGGGGACGCGCTCCACCCCATGACCCCAGACATTGGCCAAGGCGGCTGCTGCTGCATTAGAAGACAGTGTTGTATTGGCAAGGTGTCTTGGTGAGGCCTTGTTGAAGAACTCAAGGGGAGAAAGAAAAGATAAGGAGGGTGAAGAAGGAAAGGAAGAGTATGAGAGGATTGAGATGGGGTTGAACAAGTATGCCAATGAGAGGAGATGGAGAAGCTTTGATCTGATTAGTACATCTAGAGTGGTTGGTTTCTTACAAGAGAGTAATGGAAAATTTATGAACTTCTTCAGGGACAAATTTTTATCTCCAATCCTGCTGGTTTGTTGTTGAAGAAGTCAGATTTTGATTGTGGGAATCTCAGCATCTCTTAAATGCAATAATGATACTTCCTCTGCATATATAATAGTGATGTGCGTGTAACCTTATATGTCAATCATATTAGTGCAAGAACTTTCTTTTGTCATTTTGTAATTTGTATGGAGTTTCTGTAAGGGGACATTTCTTTTTAATCTTTATTAACAACAGGGGAAACAAGATTCGAACTTGAGACATCTTTTAACGTTGAAAAGAGAAACGCCATTAGATTAAGAGTTAGTTGGTGTAAGATGGCTTATACCGATGAAACCAACAAACAATATTACACTTTCCTAGTGCTCAAAGATAGCTGCTAAAAAGAAAACATGGCTGCTAAATAAACAGTACAAAGCATGCATTTGGTGGCATTATTGGGGTTTAGTGCTTCAATAATAGATAAGAAATTGTACTCCCACTGTAGCACTATCCAATTGCCGCTGCAAAATATAATATAAATACCCATCTCGTCCTTCTATGTCTATATCTTTGTTCTGCGAGTCTGTTTCCACTAAAACCAAAGTAAAAGCCTCAAATATCATTCATGGAAGTAGAAGCAGAAGCACAAGTTGTGATTGTAGGAGCTGGAATTGCTGGCCTTGCAACATCCTTAGGACTTCATAGGTTCTCTCTCTCTCTCTCTCTCTCTCTCTCTCATCTGTGCAAGTCTGTGTGTGTTTTAGGACTGCTAAAACAAGTTATGATTGTATGTAGTTCACTATGACTCTAAGCAGCAAGCAAAATTCAAATTCTTTTGGCTGCAGGCTTGGCATATCCGAAGCTTAGTGTTGGAATCATCGGATAGTTTGAGGACAACAGGGTTTGCATTCTCAGCATGGACAAATGCATGGAAGGCATTAGATGCCCTTGGTATTGGCGATACTCTTCGCCGACAACATGAGACACTTCATGGGTACATTATTATGTCACCATTTTGGACAATTTGACATGTTATTGTGTCAAATTATGTTTCAATGTTTGAACACTTTGACAACACAGCAAAAAAATAAACTGAGTTAGATATACCCCTTTTGCTTGATAAATTTCTGGACAATTGCTGTGTGTGTGTATATATATATGTATATTTTTTCAGCTAGTAGTTACTTGCTTTACATGCACACGTGAAACTGATAGCAGATTTTGAATACAGGAATGTGACTTCCTCAGCGATTTCTGTGTTGAAATGTACATTTAAGGCCAGGGGAAAAAAGTAAGTTTAACAGTAGAGCAGTTCCTTTTTGATGATATGATGTGCAGTTGGAGCTTTCTTCTCATATTTTTTTTATAGCTCTAAAATATACTGTTCTAATATTTTAAACGTATAGCCGGTCGGCTATACTTTCTGAATACATTCGAACATTTTAAAAGTATAGCCGTTCGGCTATACGCTTTAAATATATTCGAACGTAGCTTGCACTCGCAGAGGACGGAACTTGCACTCGCAGTCACTGCTTCGTCCTCCTGGTTCGGCACCGAAAATAGACCCAACCCGCCTAGGTGCCCTCCCCAGCGACAGCCTAGCTGCCTGCCTAGCGACCGCCTAGCCGCCTAGCCGCCTAGCGCCCGCCAAGCGACCGCCTAGCCTCCTAGCGACCTCCTAGCGACCACCTAGCGCCCGCCTAGCATCCGCCTAGCCGCCTAGCCGCTCGCCTAGGCCGATTTTTCAAACACTGCGATTGACTGAAAGTCTGAAACCCAAATTGAAAAAATTTAGCTGCAAATTTGAGCTTGAGATTGGGAAGCCGAAGCAGTGAAGCACAAGTCAGGTCCATAGAAGAACAGATTATTTTTCTATTTAGGTGTCAGCTGTTACAGACCAAGCCGGAATGCAAGATCTTGGAGCAAATGCTGGTGATTTTGATGACGATGAAGGTGGTGGCTTGGTTAGTAAGATCTTTCCTTTTATGTTTTTATTTTCTATTAACACAAAGAATTTGTGGACTGATATGATTGCTAAGAACTGTTTGCTCTGGCTGAGTAATATCTGGGAATAATTGTTGAATGTATGGAAGCTGCTGCTGCTCCATCATTGCTTTTAAGATTTTTTGCTGCTTGATGCTTATGGTATCTATAGTTGGTTCGATTGGCTTAGTATCTTTTGTGTTTATTTTTCTCTTATTTAGTATCTTTTGTATTTATTGTTCTCTTATTCATTCTCCTAGTAGAAAAATAAGGTCAAAAATAATTTGAACTACCATCTCTTGCACTCCTGCCAGCTTTTTAACCTTTGATATTGGAAAGATTGCCTATTTAAGATTTTTTTTTTTGCTAGCAGATTATTGAAGTTGAGCTTGATAATTCAAAATAACGTAGCATCCATGAATTTTGTAATCATTTTACTGGTTTCGGCACTTATCCCTCCCTTTTTGCTTTAACTAGTAAGATATGCATTGTCTCTCAAGGCATTGCAGACATCAGCACTGCAAAGCCAAGGGTGATAGTTTGGCATAGAAAGAGTGTCTGCACTGCATTTTTTTTTGTTGACCTGAGTGAAGGTGATTGACGTTTTGTTTTATTAATCTTACAGTCATTGAATGCCCGCTCTCGGGCAATTCTCATGCAGAAATTGGATCGCAGTGGCTCTGGATCAGGGTTGGTATTTTCTGAGCATTTTATTTTATTTTGAATTGTTTTAGTTGGTCTTACATTGGCTTTGTATGCAGTATTGCTGGTCCCGCTGTCAATAGCACCGGTGTTTCTTTACCAATGGAACTACCAACGGCACCACTCCTGGGAGCTGCACCAGTGGTTTCTCCTCTTGTTCCTCAAATCACCGCTGTTCCTGGTATCGCTGGACTTGGTGTTGCTGGTCTTCAAATTCCTACTGCTACTCTTCCTTCTATAGATACAATTGGTGTTCCAAGCGAATGTTTACCGTTGAAAATATATTTGATCCAGCAGTTGAGGTTGGTGGTGGATTCTTCTGATACTGAGAGATTTTCTTCATTCCCTTGATGGTTATATTATATAATTTGTCTTCCTTTTTGAGCAGACGGAACCAAACTTTGACTTGGACATTAAAGAAGATGTTCAGGAGGAGTGTTCAAAATACGGGAATTTGAGGCATATCTTTGTAGACAAGTAAGCTTGTTCGCATTAGTTATGTTGTCCTTTGTCTCTTGCACATGTCTAACTTACATTCATGTCAATGAGCAGTAATACTGCTGGTCACGTGTACTTATGATTATCTCACGGGTTTAAACTTGAAACAACCCACAGTTTTATTTTGATTTGCCTCCACAGTCAAAACAGAGGGCTTATCTGTTTTGAGCACAAGAAGAAGAAGAGAAGGTAAGGGCAAACCCAAACACTGTCTGCTGCTGTCGGTATTGACCGCCAATCATCATTCGTCATCCTCATCGTCATCTTCAGCTCAATTATGCCTGTCCTTTACATCCCCATCACAAATAAGAAGTAAAAGCCTGGGTCTCCAGAGCATAATCAAGCACAACATGGAAGCAGAAGCAGATGTTGTGATTGTGGGAGCTGGAATTTCTGGCCTTGCAACATCCTTAGGACTTCACAGGTTCTCTCTCTCTCTCTCTCTCATACACACATGTTAATGTTCATGGTTCATATTGTTTATGGTCGAATCAAAATTGAAATTTCTGGGTGCAGGCTGGGGATTAGAAGCTTGGTGTTGGAATCATCTGATAGTTTGAGGACAACAGGTTTTGCATTGACAACATGGACAAATGCATGGAAGGCCTTAGATGCCCTTGGTCTTGCCGATTCTCTTCGCCAACAACATGTCACACTTGATGGGTAATTTTCTCTCCATGCATCACTCTCTCTTGCCCCTTCAATTATCCTAACATGTTATGTTCTCAGATTGCCAATCTCGACCGTTAGTTACGCAAAATCAGTCCTAACATGTTTGTTGGTACTTGCTAAGTTCTACTTTTGCACGCACGAAACTGATTGTAGAGATTTGAATGTACAGGAATGTAACTTCCTCAAGAATTACAGGGCTTCAAACGTTTGAGATGTCATTTAAGGCCAAAGGAAAGCAGTAAGTTTATCAATAGCATAAGTGCTAAAAGTATCTTACTTGATGCTTAATATTGGAAATCAATTGTTGAGAATGTACATGATGTGCAGCGGAGACCATGAAATTCGATGCGTGAAAAGGACCTTGTTGTTGGAAGGCCTTGCAAATGAACTCCCCAGTGGCACCATCAGGTTCCCATCCAAGGTGGTTTCCGTTGACGAATCGGGCTACTTTAAGCTGGTTCATCTCGCAGACGGGACCATCCTCAAAGCCAAGGTAGACTGATCTTTCCTTTTTATCTCTATTTTTCCATTAAAAAAAAGCCCTTGCAAAAGTCAAGTCATTATCTGAAGGCCAAGATCTTATCCTAAAGAGGCACTCGCTCTTGCAACTTATCCCACATCGCTCGGTTGATATCAAAAACCACACTTCATAAACCTAACAGGAGGAAGTTGGATCGCCGAGCTCAGCAACGTGAGCTTGTAACCCGAGTGGGGGCTTTGAGGTGCTGGAACATTGTCCCAGTATTAGCTGGTCGGGTTCGGGTTGGCTATCTTCTGGCTCGCCCATTCCAAGCCAGGAGTTGAACCCTGTGGCTTGAGCGAAGGCTCTGGGTCACTGGGTTTCTAGAGTGGAGGGCACTGCGTAAGGCTGGCTTCACAGAGCAACGATTACCTCCCGCTCTTGGCAGTGGAAGGATAACGGGTCGGTGCCACTCGGATCCACCATGGCCTGCTAGACTGTCCCAATTGAACCAAAACCTTTTTTCTGTTTTTTAACCTCAAAGCTGGAAACTTTGTCATTTTCTTCCTAACTAGGTTGGTTCCACAAGGCAAATTAAGCTAGAACAGCTTCACTTTTTAGGGACTACTTATTCATTTTTAAGCAGAGTATCTGTTTGATGGATCTTTCCTTTTCATCTCTTTTTGGATGGAATACTTAATTTTGTAGGTACTTTTCATCTAGTCACTTATGGTAATAATGTTGCGATTGAATAGGTCTTGGTTGGGTGTGATGGAGTGAACTCCGTGGTGGCAAAATGGCTCGGCTTTAAGCAGCCGGCATTTACAGGGAGATCTGCTATTAGAGGTTGTGCTACCTTCAAGAGCAGTCATGGATTTGATCCCATGTTCATGCAGTACTTTGGGAATGGTATTAGATCTGGTGCCGTCCCTTGTGATGATGCAAATGTTTACTGGTACATTACTTGGACTCCCTCTAGCCAAGGTAAACTTTCAAGGCTCAAACATACGACTGATCCTTGGGGCAAAAAATATAACTTAAGATAGAACCTTAGATATTGGTACTGTTTCACCGCATTGTAGGACCGGTATCAGTATGCTTCAAAATGGTTTTCAGACCTCAATCTCATCACAAATAAAAAACCCGTGATAGAATGTTTCATACTATGTTACTCTCAGCATCAAGACAAGATGATAATTTTTTTCCTTTTCAATTCAGAAACTTTAGGACTTCATGTCGGCTGCTAATAAGTGTTTGTAGTATATAATTGCAATCAAACCAGCATCTGTATGTTACATTTTTTTGTTTATTCTTCTTGTCTTGTAGAGAAAGAACTAGAAGAGAACCCAGCTCAACTGAAGCAATATATGTCAAGCAAGCTCGGAAAGATACCTGATAAAGTAAAAGCTGTGGTAGAAAACACCGAATTGGAAGCTTTTATATCCTCTCCATTGAGATATAGGCATCCTTGGGAGCTTCTTTGGGGAAACATCAGCAAAGGCAATGCTTGTGTCGCAGGGGACGCGCTCCACCCCATGACCCCAGACATTGGCCAAGGGGGCTGCTGTGCATTAGAAGACAGCGTTGTATTGGCAAGGTGTCTTGGTGAGGCCTTATTGAAGAACTCAGGGGGAGAAACAAAAGATAAGGAGGGTGAAGAAGGAAAGGAAGAGTATGAGAGGATTGAGATGGGGTTGAACAAGTATGCCAACGAGAGGAGATGGAGAAGCTTTGATCTGATTAGTACATCTTATGTGGTTGGTTTCTTACAAGAGAGTAATGGAAAATTTATGAACTTCTTCAGGGACAAATTTTTATCTCCAATCCTGGCTGGTTTGCGGTTGAAGAAGGCAGATTTTGATTGTGGAAAGCTCAGCATCTCTTAAATGCAATGATACGTCCTCTGCATAAATAATTGTGATTTGCATGTAACCTTACATGTCAATCATATTAGTGCAAGAACTTTTCTTTTGTCATTTTGTAATTTGTATGGAGTTTCTGTAAGGGGACATTTCTTTTTAATCTTTATTAACAACAGGGGAAACAAGATTCGAACTTGAGATATCTTTTAATGATGTTGAAAAGAGAAACGCCATTAGATTAAGAGTGAGTTGGTGTAAGACGGCTTATATCGATGAATCCAACAAACAATATTACACTTTCCTAGTGCTCAAAGATATAGCCGCTAAAAAGAAATCATGGCTGCTAAATAAACAATACAAAACATTTGGTGGCATTATTGGGGTTTAGTGCTTCAATAACAGATAAGAAAAGGTAGATCAGATTGAACATTGGCTGTTGTCACTTGTCTTTAGTGTGTGATCGTCATCCCCATTGTCATCTAAACTGTACTCCCACTATAGCACTATCCAATTGCCGCTGCAGAATATAATATAAATACCCATCTCATCCTACTATGTCTATATCTTTGTTCTGCGAGTCTTTCCACTAAAACTAAAGTAAAGCCTCAAATATCATTCATGGAGTTTTCTTCTCATGTATTTTGTATTTTCGCCTTAAACCCTAATATGACAAAATTGTACATTTAAAGCGTACCGCTGAACGGCTATACTCTTCGAATATGTTCAAATATTTTAAACGTATAGCCGTTCGGCTATACCTTCTAAATACATTTCAATATTTTAGAGGTATAGCCGTTCGGCTATACTGTTTAAATATATTCAAGACGAACATGAAGCTTGCACTTGCAGATGACGGAACTTGCACTCGCCGTCAAGCTTCGATTTGTTTTCTTTGGTTTCGGCTGCTTCGTCCTCCGGGTCCGGCAACGAAAAAAGACCCAACCCGCCTAGGCGCCCGCCTAGCCCTCCTAGCCGCCTAGGGCCCGCCTAGCTACCGCCTAGCCGCCTAGGGCCCGCCTAGCTACCGCCTAGCCGCCTAGGGCCCGCCTAGCTACCGCCTAGCCGCCTAGGGCCCATCTAGCTACCGCCTAGCCGCCTAGGGCCCGCCTAGCTACCGCCTAGCAGCCTAGCGACCGCTTAGTCGCCTTGTGCCCGCCTAGCGACCGCCTATGCCCGCCTAGCGACCTCCTAGCCGCCGGCCTAGGCCGATTTGTGATTGGCTACTTTGTAAATTAAGGGTTCTGAACTTGGTGTTGCTGGTCTTCAAATTCCTACTGCTACTCTTCCTTCTATAGATACAATTGGTGTTCCAAGCGAATGTTTACTGTTGAAAAATATGTTTGATCCAGCAGTTGAGGTTGGTGGTGGATTCTTCTGATACTGAGAGATTTTCTTCATTCCCTTGGTGGTTATATTATATAATTTGTCTTCCTTTTTGAGCAGACGGAACCAAACTTTGACTTGGACATTAAAGAAGATGTTCAGGAGGAGTGTTCAAAATATGGGAATTTGAGGCATATCCTTGTAGACAAGTAAGTTTGTTCGCATTAGTTATGTTGTCCTTTGTCTCTTGCACATGTCTGACTTACATTCATGTCAATGAGCAGGAATACCGCTGGTCATGTGTACTTACGATTCGAGAACACACAAGCTGCGATAAATGCTCAGCATGTTCTCCATGGAAGATGGTTTGCCGGAAATATGATTGAGGCAACGTTCATGGTACTTACATATGTTTGTGATTGTGACTATATATATTTTTCATTTTGGAACATCTCGTTTAAAAAAATATATTTTCATCTTTGCAGTTGCCCCAGAACTATGAGGCTAAATTCATGGAAAGCAGATAGGATTATTATATGCAGTGTTGGTAATGTAGAAAATGTAGCTGGTAATGCCTGTTGGTGGTTAGCCTTTTGGGTCCAATTTTCATGTGAGAGAGTATTTAATGAATTATCATCAGGGCTTTTTGTGCGAGAAGGAAGAATGTCATGCTCAGTTCAGCATTTTGGCGATACTGGGTTTTTTTTCCTTTCTAATTTGTTTTAAAGCCGAGCGACTATACTCTGTAACTTGAGAAAAAGTACTTTGGATGCTGGGACTATTTTGCAAGAGAGTATGCCAAATTGTTTCTGATAAGATAAAAAAAGTTTGTGTTGTTCATTATTTTGCAAGAGCTCACACTATAAGTTGTAAATACTTCCGTCCTCCAAAAAAGTGATCATGCACCTCCTCCATTATACAATCATAAGAAAAAAATTGAACTAGAGAAGAAGTTCCCGATGATTATCTTGTGGGTTTAAACTTGAAACAACCCACAGTTTATTTTGATTTGCCTCCACAACCACAGTCAAAACAGACAGCTTATCTGTTTTGAGCACAAGAAGAAGAAGAGAAGGGGCTCACGGTAACTTTGATGAGGTGTAAGTCTTAATAATATGTGTTTTATCATATGTTGATTTCTAGGGAATACCCAATCTGGCAGCTTGTTTAGCTACAATGAACTTATATTTATTACTTTCCTCTGACAGTCATTCAGGTATGCTTTTCTGTTTTTCCTTTTTTCCTCGGCTCAATTTTCCTGTCTTAATTAGGGTGCTCTGCAGCTCAGTGATACTCACCCATCTCTAAAAAACAGCTGAGGTCATGAGAGTGCTTGTTGATGAAGAGCATTTGGGTTGGAATAAAGCATGGGACATTGCTTGCAACTGGCTTGCAAGCATATGCAGCAGATCCTGACCTTCAACAAGAATGGATGATGGTACCCACTAGGTTTGATATCTGCTTAGGAACCAAAAATATATTAAGCTTTTGGCTTCTTTTGTATTTAAATCTGTTGTATATATGCTCATGTTGTAGGTTAAGAAGGTTAACAAAATGAGGCTCGCT